TATAAGAGGAGAGAATTGGAAGATCGCGCGCGCGGTGTGTGTTGTGTTGGATCCGCGAGAAAGCGCCGCGAGGACGCGCAAGAGCAGAAGGAAAACGCGATGAGGAGGAGGTGAAAGAAGTGGAACGCAGACGTTCCGGAAGGTCGTGGAACGGCCTGGGCCGTCGGCGGCGGCGGCGGTGGTGGCGGTGGTGGTGCTRGTGGCGGAGCAGCAACGGTGGTGGAGATGGAGGTGGTGGTGGCGGGTCTCTCGTTCGTTTCGTCTGTCACTTCATTCATGACTCGACCGGTAGTCCTGATCACGCCCCTTCCATCTCTCACTATCTCTCTCCCTCCCCCCTTACCCTCTTCCATCTTTCCTATCTCTCTTTCCGCCATATTCCCCTTCCAATTCCAGCCAGTCTACTCTCCCACCCTCTCCAACTACTACTACCTAGTCGTCTCCTTCACCCTCTCCCCCCTCCCCTTCCCTACCAACCCTCGACCTCCTCTACCACCAACCGTTTCTCTATCTCTATCTCTATCTCTGTTTCTCCTTTTCTTCCTCTCTCTCTTCTCTTCTTCCATCTCCACCTCCACCCCCTCCTCCTATCTATCCAACTTCTACGTTCGTCGAAGCAGAGATTCATAACGGCTCCACGACCATCCGATGGCGTTAGTCGTCTTCTTCTCTTCTCTTCGTAATCTTCCTCACATTCTCCTCCATCTTACCCCATTCCTTCCCCTTCTCTTCCCTCATCACCCTTATCCTCATCTCATGCTATCCTCTTGGCTAGAGGATCGTTCAAAAAAAAAAAGATTCTTCTTATATTCTTACTCCTTGCAAAACGCCCTCGATCGTTGTCGTTGTCATCGTCGTCGTCGTCTTCGTCGTCTTCGTCGTCTTCGTTGTCCTCTCACGACTATAACGGACCATCTCGTCTCTTCTCTTCTCTTCTTTTCTATTTTATATCGAAAATTCTATTCTTTTATGGCATGTTCGATCAAAGGATTACGTTAGAAAAAAGATCGATTAAATAAACATCGATGATCTGCCCATGATGTCTTGCTCGAAGTTTTATTAATAATACAACAAAGAAATATTGTAGTATAACTATATATGTATATATAAATCCATCGTTATTATAGTAATAATAGTCACTGTAATTCATCTTGTATGTATATATTTATATATTATTGAAAAATATAAGAAAGAATAATAGCACAAGTAACAGCGTATTATTTCTCACTCACGCGGTAGGAATAATTTTTCCTATGTTGACGATTTCGCGACTCTATTTCCCGGGTATTATAATTTCGTTCTATTAAGACCTTAACAAACCGGGTTTCGAAAGTGGGACGCCCCTATCCGGGCTCACCGAGCGCTACTTTATTTCGTTTGTTGCATAAACGCTAGAAAGCCCCCGTATCGTTTATCCCCCTTCCCCCCTTTCCTCTATTTATCTATCTATCTATCTATCTCTTTCTCTTTTTATCTACGTTAACCAAACGCATCCTTTATCTGATATTTATTTTCGTATTAACGATTCACGTTAGAAGGCAAAATCAAAAAAAAAAAAAGATGAAGAAGAGAAGGAAGAAGAAGAAGAAGAAATAAGCAGGATCATTTAGCGAAATGCACTTTCGGAATACAAATTACGCGCTTTAAATAGACGAAATTGAATAAGGATGGTAGAGAGATGGGTAGAAAGAGGATGGACGGTATACGATGGACGGTGGTACGGGGGGTCCCAAGGACTACGTGATCCAGTACAATTCAAAAAGAACAACGCGCGACGACCATTTTAACCGTAATTTTAGTCTTGGATCGGTTAAATTTGATTTCCGAATAAATATCTTTAATATTTATTATACCGCATTGTCAATCAAAGTGTAGGTACATTAAAATGTATATTTAATCGTTCCGACCAATAAACAAAATCTTGTTTGCTCATTTAAAACGATTGTTTTCCTAATTTGGCATTAAAAAACAAACATGAAGGAATAATACGATTAGTAAGATTTCTTCGAAACAAGAATATAATATATGTATATAATATATCTTAGTAAACGTTATTGCAACATTTTAGTAGAAGTTAAGAGAATACTTTGCTTCGTTCTCTTCTTTGTCGGCAGTACGACGTACGCTCGTCTCGTTGCATCTCATTTATATCTCTTACAATAGTAAGAACAAATAGTTAACTACGTGAATAAAGTATATATACATACATATACACGTGTGTGTGTGTGTTGTTTCTCAATCTTGCTAGTGTTTATCGCGTACTTATAAAAGGAAATGGAATAAAAAGAAAATGATGATGATGATGTAGAAGAAGATGAAGAAGAAGAAGAAGAAGAAGAAATGTTTCGTAAGATCGGCGCCTTGGTGCTGCGTCTCACGAATGACGTTTCGAAGTCGCGAAAAGAGTCGAAAGAAAGAGAAAGAGAAATAGAGAAAGAGAGAGAGATCTTATGCATCTTATATGTATATATGTTGCCACCCACCGTTTCTTTCTCTCTTTCTCTCTCTCTCTTTTGGCATAGGGAGAGAGAGCCGCGCGTGCTTCTGTGCTTTCCGTCTCCCTCTTCTCATCGCGCGCTTCGTAGTGGCCCTGGGCTGCTTTTGGTGAGGATGGTGGTGAACGCACCATATGGGGCCGGTCTCATGCACTCGCGCATAGCAACAGAAACGAGAGAGAGGAAAACAGGCTAGCGGCGTCACCGTCTTCTCTCTCTCTCACTCTCTCATTCTGTCTSTCTGTCTCTCTTGCTCTGCCCCTCTCTTTTCTCTTTCTCTTTCTATCTCACACGTACGCACTGGTACAAGCATGGAGACAACGTTCACTCTTGGCGTGTGCGAACCACCGATTTGATAGTGTGCGTGTGTGTGTGTTAGGCGGAAGGTTGGGTACGAAAGAAGAGCGAGAGAGAGAGAGGGAGAGAGAGAATTGATAGAGGAAGAGGGGACAAAAGAGAAAGGGATGGTCTCGGAGAGGTGGAGTGAGAGGGTGGACAGCACCACCCGGTGACGATCGGGCGGCGACGTTGCCTCCAACAGGACGAGAGAGAGAGAGAGAGAGAGAGAGAGAGAGAGAGACGACAATGAAATCGTGTATCTACGAATTCGTTTATATCCTTCGGGACGATACCGGTTTCTTCTACCTACGTTGAGTGCTGAGAGAGGAGAGAGAGAGGGAGAGGAGAGGAAAGGAAAAATCTTCTCCCTCGTCACGATTCTTCGCACGAAGGAAGCCACGTTGGTCGTCGTCGGCTTATTTCTTTTTAACGTGGTTTAAAAGGTGAGGGAGGTAAAGAAGAGATTATCCTTATCTTCGGCAAGAAAATATAGAAATGAATTTAGACCAACCACCCCTCGCCTACCTCGTGTTCGTTTATTGAAATTCTTTCTAAAGTTTATAGTGATTTATAAATGTTGGTAAGAAAAGATGGGAGGAGAGACGTCCTGCTGTGTTAATTAATACGTTACAAATGAAAATATATATTTCTTTCTTACTTAAATGATTATACTATACTCTCTCTTTACGAGAATAAGATAATAAAAAAATTGCTTAAAATTGAAGATAATAATTAAATATATTTTATCTTTCAATTGGCATTATTAATATCCACGAGATTATTAAATGAGAATCATTTTTGAGAATATTTCATTCGAGTAGTAGGAATCAATTTGACTGGCGTAGTAATTAGATGTTATTCTCTTTTTTTTTTCTTATTCAAATGTTTTTACGTAAAAAGGATTTAGCGTTATTTCATTTTTTTTTTGTTAAATCATTAGGGCGACAAAATAACGAATATCATTTTTCCATGACATTGGAACCTAGTAATAGTTAGTAACAGTTTTAGTGGTAGTAATAGTAGTAGCAGTAGCAGCCATAGTAGTAATAGTAGCAGTGGTAGCAATAGCATTAGTAATAGTAATAGCAGTAATATAGTAGTAGTAGTATAGTAATATTAATAATAATAATAGTAAAAGGAATAGTAGTAATAATAGTAATAGTAGTCATAGTAGTATAGTAATACAAGGTGTCGGGAGTTTTTGGCGTCGTCCGTCGAACGGCGTGGTTTTCACGTGGTCGCGGCATATCGATTGCTGGAGAGGCGGCAGATCGGATTCTGCGCCCTCTTCCCCTTTTACTCCTTTCCTTGCCCCTCTTCTCCCCGAGACCTCGTCCTTTCCTCGCAGACAGATCGTTTACCGAATTACATGGCATTTTTGTTGAGAAAACGCGACGCGTTTCCAACTTTTTTCGCGGGGACGCACGCTTCTTCTTCAATGTTTTTTCATTTATTTACTATCATAATATATTATTATTACAATAATAATAATTAATGTAATTATAATTTGATTATTATGATCATTGTTATTACGATACAATAATATACGAATTATAATGAAATAATATGATTATTGAAAATAATAATTATGATGAATAAATACGTGTAGGCGTATAACAAATGAAATGACTTATCAAAAACGACGTACGTTTTTCTCATAAAATTAACAACGACATTTTTATCACTAATGTCTCGCAATTGCGAAATAATTAACATTATATTTGACACTTTGTTTGTATATCTCTTATCATTAAGTCGAAAAATGTTATGTTAGGCATTTAAGTATATCCTAAAGTCATTCGATTACAGGTGTGAATGAGACGCGTACGAACATGTGTGTATGACTTGTATATATGTACACGAATATGAGACCGTATGTTCTCACTGTGTGAAACGTTAGTTCATATTTGTGTATGTATGCATGCGTGTGTGTGTTTGTGTGCGTGTAACTCCAGTGATAAATGTAAATGAATCATGAATGCATGTTATAACTTTAATACGATGTCTGATGAGTAGTATGAGTGCGTTGCTACCAGATGGTTAACGTGCTAGGAAAACTTTCCTCTATCGTTTTTTTTTTATTTTTCAATTATGCTAATCAATAAGGATAGAATTTTTACGGATTCGATTGATATTAATTTGAGGTTTTTTTGTTGCTTGTTATAGGTTTATTATGCGAAGAAGAAGAGAAGGGCACAGCAGATGCAGGGAGAAGATGGTTCGCATAAAAAAGAAAGAAAGCTTTACAATGACGGTTGGGATGACGACAACCACGATTACATTATCAAGAATGGGGAAAAGTTCCTCGATCGATACGAGATCGACTCATTAATAGGTAATACGATCTACAATAATAAATATAATAATAATAATAATAAAATCGATAAAGATTCTCTTGTTCAATAACTCATTGTCCTGTATAATACTATATCATCTTTTCTTTCTTTTTTTTGTTTCTTTTCTCTCTTAGGTAAAGGCAGTTTTGGCCAAGTAGTAAAAGCATTTGACCACGAAGAGCAAACACAAGTGGCAATAAAAATCATAAAGAATAAAAAACCTTTTCTAAATCAAGCCCAAATCGAAGTTAGGTTGTTGGAAATGATGAACAGGGCGGATACGGACAACAAGTATTATATAGGTAAAAAATTCATTTAAATCTCATCTAATTCGTTTGGATTATGACAATATATTGATGATTATTAATCGATTATTTATTTCCTCATCTTAATCTGTTTCTTTTGTTTCTAGTTAAACTGAAGAGGCATTTTATGTGGCGAAATCACTTATGTTTGGTATTCGAATTGCTATCGTATAATCTCTATGACTTACTTAGGAATACAAATTTTCGGGGTGTGTCGTTAAATTTGACAAGAAAATTTGCACAGCAATTGTGTACTGCCCTCTTGTTCCTGTCTACACCGGAATTGAACATCATTCACTGTGATCTGAAACCCGAGAACATTCTTTTATGTAATCCCAAACGAAGCGCGATAAAAATAGTCGACTTCGGTAGTTCGTGTCAACTTGGCCAGAGGGTAATATGTCCTTGAATATAGTGATAATAAAATGTAGCCATTTTCTTTTTATCACACTTTTCTCATATTTCTAAATCGTTGTTCTATTATTTTCAGATATATCAGTATATCCAGTCCAGGTTTTACAGATCTCCAGAAGTCCTCTTAGGAATACCTTATGACCTCGCGATAGACATGTGGAGTTTGGGATGTATTTTGGTAGAAATGCACACAGGAGAACCTTTGTTTAGTGGGGCCAATGAGGTAAAAATTTAAATGATACTTAATAAACATCATTTACGGAATGGTATTACTCGATAACATTCAATAGCACGAGATGCCATACGTATAGTCTTTAAAGATCATAATTCTAAATAAATTTTTGATAGGTTGAAAACAAACACATATTTAAATATAAATATAATCCGTATCTTTTCTTGTAGGTCGATCAAATGAACAAAATTGTCGAAGTATTAGGCATGCCACCAAAACGTATATTGGACCAAGCGCATAAAGCGCGGAAATACTTTGACAAAGTCCCCACGGACGGCTCGTACGTGCTGAAAAAGTCCAAAGACGGTAAAAAGTATAAACCTCCTGGTACAAGGCGGTTGCACGAAATTTTGGGCGTTGAAAGTGGCGGTCCTGGTGGTAGAAGGATAGGTGAACCTGGTCACTCGATCTCTGACTACCTCAAATTTAAGGACTTAATTCTACGAATGTTGGATTTTGATCCAAAGACGAGAGTTACGCCATACTACGCGCTTCAGCACAATTTCTTTAAAAGAACAGCCGATGAGGGGACCAACACGAACATTGCTGCTGCGAATAGTGCAAATACAAGTCCAGCAGTGGTGTCAATGAGCCAGGATCATGGTGGGTTACTACTTTGTTTCATTTCTTCGTGCGAGTACAAACTAAGTTTGTTGAAACACAGTCTGTAACATATACATATGTCAAACAAAAGACAAGAGTACAACTCGCTTGATTTTTAGATGACTTCAACTTTACACAGGGGTCTTTAGTCTCGATCTATAAGTGAATTTAAGGAGAGGTTTTTGGGTCATTCGATATTATTTAATAATATGATATAAATGGTTAGATTTGATATAAGCACCTTCAGAAATGCACTTACATCATAGTCAAACTCATATTTGATTTAGAATAGTGTTTTTCAACTTCATCCAGATTTCATTAGATTCCATTTGCTTAGAGTGAAAAAGCTTTCCAAAAAAGATATATTATATACTATATATATATTTATACATATACATCATTGCACGGTGCACACAGCACTAAACGGTTATTCATATGCTTCCTTATTTGAGTACCTTTATACACTCTAGAATTTTCTTCGAAAGCATTAATATTTAAAAAGAGCTTTCAGAAAATTTCATCTCAAGGAAATTGTTTTGCACATGCTCCTGTTGTTATGATAATACAGCTACGTTTAACGAATTAATTGCAATGACAAATGTAACTTTATCAAAATATTACATCTGTGTTGCTTGATTTCATTCACTGCTCATTATTCGTTTCATATTTCATTTCTATCACATTTCTCACCCAATACAAGATATTAAGTCCATAATGCCCCTTTTAACTTGATCATTTTAACAGTTGTCTATCATTATCAGAATTAATATTGCTCTGAATTTAGCAATTATGTGAGAATGAACAATTTTCGTAAAGTCTCTTAACAAGATATTGAACAATTAATAAGTGCAGCATTCGAAACAGTAGAATTCTCTCTCTTTCTCTTTCTCTCTTTCTCTCTCTCACATTTGATGCATGACGAGTTGTCTCTTCGCACCACATTGTCGCGTATATAACAATATACAATACGGCTCTTTAAGTTGTAGTACCATTCACATACAATATCCGAAAGTTAAATAACGAAGAAGAGCAGCGACAAAATGAGAACCATTGAGATATTATTAAAATGGAGAGTTCCACTGTACTGAACATTCAGGAAAGTTTTAATTTGTGCAGAAAATAAAAGGCTAATGTGTTTCATAAATACAAGTTTGATTTCTTTTTCTTTTTTTTCTTTATTTTTCTTTTTTTTTTCAAAGATATTATAACAATAGTTAAACATATTTCATAATGGCGAATAACAATCTAGAAAAAGAATATCATTTTTAATACATAGGTTAATGATAATATTTCAGTTGAATTAGAAAAAGGTGTTGATGCTTTTTATGTATCTTCATAATTTTACATATGTATTTTTACTTTCTGCACAAACTAAACAATACTTGTTGTTGCCCGTAGATATGATGGGGGGACAGTACGTGGCTCGATGACTGTCGTATCCGCGGGGCGGCGACGACCTGTCCTAGGCCCCAACCTTAATCTTACTTACTAACATAAGTAAGTTCTGTCTAACAAACAATCCTACAAGCTAAAAAACTAACGATGACCCCTATTAATAATGTCCTGGCCTCGGATGTATTGCGCGAAGCCTTGCTTGCTTAAAAACACCCTTTTCCTGAGTCATGGATGGACTTATTGCTAGCCCATGGCTCGATTTATACCTAGTAGTGCATATGCTGTGTCCAATTGCAATGTTTATAACAAGGACACTTCATATCCTGGTTAAACATTTGTTCTTGACTATATAATAACCTTCTTATAGAATCAGAGAACAATAATTAATAAGATAGAGTTATTGGAATATGTTTTTTTACCGTTATTATTTGTAATTATTTATTTTTCTTAAACTTACACAAATGAGATATATGCATGCTTCTATATCTATGATAATGATGATGATGATGATGATGATGATACATGCACACACTTTTAAACAGCAACATGTGTTATGAAATTATTTTAAACATATTCCAACTGATGATGTGATTATTATTGTGCTAATAAAATCTATTTTTGTAGATAAATCATTTCATTTCAAGTTAATTTCCTTTATATAATTTCATGCATGCTTTAGTATGTGCTTGCATCGTACACTTTGCAAAAGTGCATCAATACTATTTACGCGAGATAATAATTTAGATATTAAGATATTTCACGAATTAGAATTGCTACTGAATTTTCAATAAATAATAGCATTAAAATAGTAATAGCAATATTACTAAGGAATGCAAGAAACGAGTAAAACATTTTTTGCTACCGTATATTTATTACAATTTTTTTGTAAGCATAGTATTTTAAATACATGATAATAAAGAGTAAAAACTAATAAGCAGGTATTATATGCAACATTGTGCTATACGATAAACCATTGTAATGATTATCCTTTTCAGTCAAAAATACACTCATCGTGTATTACATTAAAAATGATATTTATTCAAAATTCTAAATGTTATTGAAATTTGTAATAGAGGTAATGATAATTTAGAGTGTATTGCAGCACTTACTTTTTGGCACTCGGTTTTGAAATGTTAGGTATCCTTAGAAACAAACATATTGTCGAAAGACAAGAATCGTAGCAGTGAAATTCAATGCCTGCAAAATCCCTGTAGATTGTTCAATTTTTTATTTCTCTTAACTCCTCTAGTGAAATTGTAAAAGCTAGCGGTTTTCGTGAATAATGATTGCATTTATTAGTGTAGCTTAATATCTATTATTGGTTTAGATAATATTAGATTTTTCTTGGTGTCATAGGACTGGTAACCATGTCAGGACAGGGCAGCAGCAGCAGCGGTAGTCTGATGCAAGTGTCAAGCCTCCCTGGTAGCTATCAACCCATGGAATGTGAGGCTTCACCTCGTCATTCAAGTAGTCGGCGCGGCATAACAACAGGCTATCCATCAACATCAGCCACTGGGGTGTCTGCGTCCACTTCGATGTCCATGCAGCCCATGGACAACTCGCTGATACCAAGCTCTCTTGGATCGTACAATAGCCTAATTCTACCTGGTATACCCCATCTGCCTGCGATGATGACCTCACCAATGATACAGCAGCAAAATTTCTATAATTATGGTTACTCGACGACAGATTCACATGGGATGGTTAGACAGCCGTCGACGGTTTCAACCGGTAAACAGAGAGATCCGGAAAGGGAAGATAGCCCTATGGTTGGGGTGTGCGTCCAACAAAGTCCAGTCGCTATCCATTGAATTAGAAAAGGAAATAACGGAGGACAATACACATGTTACGATCGTGAGACCGTAGATAACTATTAAACGGTTACGAATCGAGCTCATGGCAAGTTTAGAGTATTGTCGTGGCGTCAATGAAGAAACGAATAAAACTAGGAAAGGAAAACGTACAGCTTGAAGTCGTCCCCAAACATTAGTTTATCAAGTACCAAGACAAGTAGTGTAATATTATTGATCACTATGACAGTGAACCCTATAGCTTTTCGGAATTGGTTTGACTGATCGACGTAGAGAAGAAGAAGGATAAAAATAAGAAGAATAAGAAGACGATGTGACGATGAAGAGATAGTAGGACAAAAAAAGGAAACAAAAAAAAAAGAAAAGAAATTACATGGAAAAACGTATTCCAAAGCAAATCACAAACGAAGCCTTTGTCTCTGAACCAAGAGATTACCAGAATGGAGACGTACTTTAAGCGTGATAACATTTAATGACGCCGTGAAGATACTGATAAGTAGGAAAAAGCTAAGAAAAGAAAAAGAACGAGGGTAACCTCTTTTTCTGTTACTTTTTTTACAAGCTGACTGGCCCTATATTGGGCATGGATATATAACTAGCACAGAAGATTTATGAAACTTTTCGAGCATGGACAGACAGTTATGGTCTAGTGAGGATGAACCCAGCTGGCCTCGTGGGTCCTGCCCGATTCTGTAGACACTTTGAACAGTTTAGTCGATACAACATTAAGAAGAAAAAGAAGAAAGAAGAAAAAAAAACAAAAACGTTCGGTACTCAAACTGTGTGGCCTAGAGAGCGAAAAAGTGATAATTACTATTATTACCGCGTAAAAAGAAGGAAGTCGTAAGAATTACCAATTTAAGCATGTACCATCATACAGTTTTATACACCATGTCACGAATGTAAACGGTTAGGAAATAATTGCGAGCAAACAGTTGTGTCGAATGCTGGCTATTTGTACAATACACTTAGGTGAATGATAAGAGTGCAGCTTTAGAGTTTAGCTTGTAAGTGTGAGAGAGGGAGGTAATACAGACATTGTTAACACAATTCTTTTTATTTACTTTGATGAAAAATGAGGATATTGCAAACGTCAGTTTGTTGCTAAAGAAGGACTTTAAACAAACGAGGTTTGCGCAGCTTAACAACAATACATCATATTTATACATAAAAACAGTAATAAGAAAGCTTACAAAAGCAGTATACACGTAAGAGCGATCAAGAATGGTATAATCATACGAAAAACCTAGGTACTTTATAATAAACAATACGCGCGTATTCACATACACATGTTTCCAATGCTAATCGTCATTGATTTTTGCCGTTTGCTCTGATGATCATTTATTTCTTATCGCATGATATAGGTTTGAATTATTTTCAAGTTGTCAGCTTCACTTTTGTCGTGTTTTTAAAAAAAAAAAAAAGGATTCCTTCCAATCGATTATTTTTATGTGATTTTAATTTCGTATAAAGACTACGAGTGTTCATGATAAATATATATATATATTTATATACATATATGCACGCATATACACATACATATATATATATATATATTTATATACATATATATATATTTATGTTGCAAGAAAACGCGTTCAATATTTCTGATTCTACTAAATTTCAATTGCCGCGAGTGTATTTCTTGAATACGCTACCATTTGTAGGTGTAGTATAGTACCTGATGGCAGACTAATTGCAATTGAAGTAGTAAGTCTTTATACAGCGCAGATGTGACCGGCAACAATATAAATTTTAATAATCATCACTAATGTATATTATAAAAAGAAGGAGTCCTAGTGAATTATACATGTTGCTTATCATCTTCGTTGAAAATAGCAAGCAGTAAAAATATTTTTATATGGAAACAGCTTAATTGTATCAATATCTTCATAATCGTCTCTCGATCGGTAGCCTACGATGCATTATGAGATAGATAAAGATGTGGCAATTTGTCTTTCTTCCATTTTCTATCGATATTAGTCACATATATACAAATATTACATTTTGCTTTCATTTTTGCGACGCAAAATGTAATTTATACAAAGGGGAAAAAAAAAGACAAATTTACTTCGAATATCGCATTATGTAAGAATAAAAGCTACATGTATAATTCATTAATCATTTTTGATCTTATGTCATTGTTGTCATTATCATTGTCAATTTTTTTTTTTCTTTCATTTTATTTCTCTTTTATACATTTCGTTGCGATGTGTTCCTTTAATAGGTTCTTCTTTTTTATTCTTATATTATAAAATCTGCAATATCAAATAGTAGTCTTAAATAATATTTCCACTGTATGATTGTGACTGTTGACAAAAAAAGAGCTTGACCTAAAAAAAAAAAAAATGATGATAGATAACTGAAATTCCTAGCACTGCATTTGAAAAAGACATACATATATCTCATAGCCAAGTTCGAATCCAAAAAAATTCATTTTGTATTAGTTGTTAATGTATATGAAACATAATACACACAGTCTTCAGTAGTTGATAGAAATGATATATTTTATCAGCTATTCTGTCTGCTGCGAATTATTTTAATCGTGCAGACTTTGAAATGATTTGTATATTTTTATACAGCTGCAATCAGAAATTCTCAGAAGTACATTTTTGACATAAGCACATTAGCATTTTCAAGTTAAACTTGAAGGTTCACGTTCATCGTACCCGCGCATCGACTCTTATTAGTTATTAAATGAAATAAACATTTTTAACGATAGACACGTACATAAATATATTTAAGTCCTGCTTGTAACTCTTGAATTTCTACGATTCCTTGGGTATATATTTAAAAAAGAAAGAAAAGAAAAAAAAACTACAAAGAAAGAAAAAAAACCCACGAAAGTGAAATGAGTCCATGTCGTGATTAGGGACGATTTTGAAAACGATTCGAAATAATAAGAAGAAAAAAAGAAAAGATACGAAATAATAATAAAAATAATAATAATAAAAAAAAAAAGATTCGATGACATTACCTAGAAGAGGATACAACATCGTAGCAGAAGACGTTTTGTCAAAAGATCGAAAGCAGTTATTATATTCTCGCACAATACATGCAGGTCACGACTAAGTGTATCGTATCTGAGAGCATTAATAACTTTTTAGTAATTTCAGCAGTACAAGCTGTACGTGGTGTTTGATCTATCAGATGTAAAGAGATTTTACTCGCGAGGCGTGCAGGATTTTCTGTGACAAATTCTAACGTTCTCTCGATCTCACTAAACGGCAAAAATCAGTACACTCTATAAATATAGATAATGTGTGATTTCACACGTGCCCTCTTCCGAATCCATGTTGTTAGTCACTGTGCTCATTAGTCCTTAATTATGACAATGAAATTTAATCAGTAAATTCATGAATTTTTTTTAAAGACAATTTTCACTGCTGTATCGTATGTCTTTTAATTCGTAAATAGCCTTTAACAAATCACCAAAATTCGACTGAAATATTTCTTGACGAAATTATTTTGTTATTTTAACATTGATAATAGCGATGATGGGTGATGATCTGTAACGTACCGAGATTTCATAATTATTTACAAACTTTTACAACATAAAACGCGTCACAGACATTATGTATTTTAATCATACAATTGAATAAAGCTAAAAACGAAATAAAATAAAACAAAACAAAGAAACATACTGTACAGTATCGAATGAAAAAAAAAAAAAAAAGTAATTATGACCCCTAATTTTTTCCTTGACCGACTTGTGGGCACAGTGCCATCTTTGGCAATGCATCGAAGCATTTTCTTTTTTGACGATTGTTGACTAACTGAATAATTATTATTGTTTATCTGTATCAAAGTGATTGGCTATATATATGGGCTATATAATATAACTTTTAGTGAATTTAAGAAGAGAACTAGTTAAACAAAAAAAAAGGCGATTGCTGTCGAGATTTAAATTTAGAGACAATTTTTTCGGGAAAGGGGGGGCGCAGTTCGAACAATTCCTGTATTGAAGGAGCATCTCGACGTGATTCTATGAGAATAAATGAATGGGAGAGAAAGAATGAATGAATGATGAATGAAAGAATGAATGAATGAATGAATGAATTAGTGAATGAATGAGAATGAGAAAAAGACCGTGAGAAAGAGAGGGAGAGGATGAGAGAGAGTGTCTGATTGAATTAATGAGGAAATATGGAAGAACTGTTAGAGAGTGTGCAGGATGGCGCTACAAGAACACAAATTCTTAAATGATGGAACAAAATTCCTAATCACAGACGATATCATATTGTGATGCATATATTATACATATATAATTAATTTTTCTTTCCTGTGGAAAAGCATCTTTATCGATATTGATTTTAAAATTGCTTATCATAATTCATTGTATCTTTGACACGTGCGCATTATTTATTGACAATTATTAATGAATTAATTAATTAACCCTTGGAAAAAAAAAAGAAGAAATTTATCCACACTCAACAATTGTCGCAAAATGCAGAATATTTAAGCCAATTAGCAAACCACAGAGATCTATACACTTACATAGAAGTAAGAGCTAGCCGTAATTCATGTTCCAAATGATTTGCTTTTCGTACTTTATAAATGCTTGCCAGATAAATAATTTTACATCAAGTACAGTCGTATTTTTTTTTTCTTTTTTTTTTTCTATTTTCTTTCTTGGTTCGTCATATAGTCATTATTATAAATATATATATATATACACCATCGAAGGGTAAGGAAAACGCGTGTAAATTGTTCTTTATAGTCATCTCACTTTATTAAATACCCATTAAAAAGCATGCAAAATGACAAATGACTCTCATGAAATAAATAAAAAAAATTCGCCATAAGCATTAAAGCAAAAATCAAATCTTCCCACATCTCGAAAATAATTTAAAAAAAAAAAAAGGAAAAAAAACACAATATAAATAATTAAATTAATAAAAATCAACCGTTCTTCACCTACATCTAATTTTAATTTTCGCAATCACAGTGAGGAGATTAATACACCTCTTGTGCCTCTTATAGCCATTAAAAAAATAAAAAAAATAAATATCTTTCTTCCGTGTGCATTGCTTGTATTTTAAATAATCTTTTTAGAAATACGAAGGGAGAGAGGGGCGTGTTTTTTGTGCCCAAAGATATAATAAAAAAAAAAAAAAGAAAAAAATATGATTGAACGACGTTGACGAAAAAGACTACTTTATTAATTTGTATAAACGATGAAAAAAAATAAATAAATAAAACTTAATTTCTTTATGGAATCTTTGGAACATGTTGCGGCCGGAGTAAAATAACATAAGTTTCCTAACGTCATGTGTGAAAACATTGTGTTCAGAAAAATATGCTATAATACGACTGATATATACCTGAGTGGCTGCATGCGGGCGTCTTTTGAGAATTGGGCATGTCAAACAATTGTCTTGATATTCTCCTTCGGCGATGGCATGTACCAATTGGGTTTAAATAAAAAAAAAAAATATAAAGGATGAATGCAGGAAATGAAGAAAAAAAAAAAAAGAGAAAAAAAGAGAAAACGAACTATGGAATTATGATACAAAAAACCTGTTTATTAAGATTAAGTAAAAAAGAAAAAAAAATGAAAAAGAAGAAAAAAAGAATGAAATAAAAGTCTGTGCAAGAAGAAAATATTCTATCTAATGACTGTATACATTGTCATATTATCATTATGGTGATTATTATAATTATTATTATATATAATAATGTAATTGAAAATTTGAAACGATATTACATAAGGTTAATAATAAACAAACGCATCTTCACCTTTGCTGTTACGTTTTCTTTTATATGCCTTTAATCATCATCCGAACCTAATCATCATCTCATCATCATTATTATCATCATCATCATTATCGTCATTCATTTAATGCATTTATATGAGGTTTTTATAAAAGAAATATTTTATAAATAATTTCAAATTGTCTAACGAAACCCGCGCCGATCGAAGCGCCGTCTAGTAGTTAGTAATTAAAGTTTTAATCATCAATAACAAATATACATAAGTTAAATGATATATTTTAATTGGACTTTATATATTATTTTACCTTGTTTATTTTATTTCGTCATTTAATAAATAATTATCAACATTTATGATTCATTGTCAATCTTATGACCATCTTATATCAGATTTCCCAGCAGATGTCGTTAAATCCTGTAAAAAAATATTCCAAAAGTAGAATCTATTCTTTTATTTTAGAGCTGTGACATCCAATAGAAGCGGTTGCAAGGCAACATGTCTGCCTCGTGAGAGAAGAAAACGTGTGAATTAGATATTCTTCGCTTTTGTAAATCCTATTCCTACAAATAGATGGAAGTTCTATTATTACTTTAGAATCCCGAAAGTAATCTTTTGTAGATAATGAGTTTCTCCGTAAAGAAAACCGGTGGAAGAATGTGGCACGAAGCTCGGAAGCAGGAGAAAAAAATACGTGGGATGTTGGTCGATTATCGTCGTAGGGCTGAACGTCGTAGGGATTATTATGAAAAAATTGTAAGTACACTAAATATAGATTTCATATAATTCAACTAATATCCATCGAAGTTACGTAAAGTCTTTAATTTTCTTTACGATCTGTTATCTTGTCTAACCTTTTGAATATACCTTATTATTTTACTTCTTCCTTTTGTATTTGTATTTTTTTTTATATTTATGGATTTATATTTTTTATAAGAAATCAGATCCTACCCAGTTTCTCCAGCTTCACGGTAGACCATGCAAAATACATTTGGATCCAGCTATAGCTGCTGCTGGTGACAGTCCAGCAAATATGTAAGCATTTAAATAAAT